GGGGGGGGCTCGCTGGGAACAAAATATGGCGAATACGTGGGCCGGCAAAGCCGTCCAAATAGAAGGATATGTCGCAACTACAAAAAGCGCATTATAAAGTTAACAGCCGTAAAGCCTTTTACTGAGGCTATAGGTTGCGTTCAGTACCTATTTAAGGTAGAAGTCTGTGGGACTTTGTATGGTACCGGTCTAAAACTTCCGTGGGCAACAAAAGTATTGTTTTTTATTGACTTGAAAAAAAACTTTTGATTTGATTAATCGTTACAAAATGTTTCAAATTTGGGAAGCATAGCATGCGGGATTCCGCAGGCGCTGGATGCTGTTGGAGTTCCTCCCAGTCTCCGTCCTGCTCCTCCGGTGAGCGAGGGGCTGTGAAATTCAGTCGGCCAGCTGGAGTCGCCTAACGTAACAAGCCGCTCGGGGAGCCCATACATTTATTTCTAATCATTCACAGGAACAGCCATGGATGGTCCGAAGCAGCTGACAACAACACGGGTGGTGGACAGCCGGAGACAGATCTACATCTCACCTGCAGTAGAGGAAATCATCTCCAGTCTCCAACCTCGCCCCGTAGATGTGGTATCCGTGGTGGGACCGATGAGGAAGGGAAAGTCCCATCTAGCAAATCGCCTATGCAAAAGGAAGTCTGGATTCCCACTTGGAGACGAAATGGAGTCGAAAACGAAGGATTTCTGGTTCTGGATCGGTGCCCACCCGTTTCAGTCTGATCGGTATCTTATGGTTGTCGACACTGAAGGTAAGACCGTCTTCTCAATAGTACGAGTACCACAGGAAATAGCAATGAGCCTATGTAAGGGTTATCCCATGGGCTCGGCACGGTTTCTGGGTATAGCTCCAGTCCTGTCCAGGGAGGCGGGACTGGGACTATTCACAGAGCTATTCTCAGAAACCGTGGGGCACTTCCTTCTTTACTTCTTACGATATCAAAGTTTCTTTAGTTCATCACCATTACAAACTGTTACTTAATTTTCTCCTAAAAGTCTACAGTTGTTATATTAATACTCCAGAGAACTGTCCCCACATGCTGTAGTGGCCAACCAGATATTTTGATGGCTGCAAACTAGTGCAAAGACAGAATCAAATTGGCCAGGCTGTGTCCTTTGGCATGTAATCCTGATATTGATATGGATGGCAATCATACATGTATTTGCAGGCCTGGGTGACTACGCTGATGAGGAACAGAAAGACAAAGACATGAAGCATCTGGTTTTGGCCACCCTGATTTCCAACCACCTGGTCTTCAACCTACAGGGCAACCCAGACAGTGGCTTTGTTAATAATCTGAGGTACGTTTTCTCATCTGAGCTGAACAGTTTTATAATCATCTCCTATGTAGCAATGGTAATATTGGTCTATGAATAAATAAATATTAGTCTACGAATTAATGCACCATTCTGTGAAAAATTTAAGAATACGACTGTATGTGACTATGCACCAGGCATCATTGTAAGGATATTTATATTTCTTGATAAATTGCTGCGGATCAGTATCTAGAATTGCATCTAGAATTTCCCATGAATTGTGCAGTGAGTCAACGATACCACGATACGTTTAGAAAATATCTCTCATGTTGATATGTACAGGTACATGCAGTACATATCTTGAAAGTTCATCTTTGTTAGTGGTCATCATGAAGCAAGCTACGTCAGTTTGATTGCAATTTCCCACATATTAGAAACTAATAGATTTACCCGACATAGTTATTTTACTTCAAAATATACTCTGGGAATGACAGGGGTGTGCTCTTGTTTATTTTCTGGTTAAGTTGGAAATTGCAGTTCAAATTTGCTTCATAAGATCAAGTGCATTTATTCTTCGATCTCAGGCTGATGGGAGATCTCGCAGACTGTATCCGTGTTCGAAAAGATGGTGAAGACGAAGGAGACAGTCTTGGTGAGCACTTCCCCGAGCTGTGGGTTGCCGTGCAAGATGCTCACCTAAAAACGCCACAAGTAAGTGTCAAGGCATATAGGTTGAGGGCTGATCGAAGCTTATGGACATATACTTTTCACCCATACCAGATACGTATATCAAATTCACGCAGAATGTCTGCTGAACTTGTCCCAAAATTTGTCAAAAAGAATTATGTCCTCCGTGTTCTTAAATCTCCGTTACAGGCTAGTCTCACTTCATCGACATGAAAAATTACATGCTACTGATTTTTTTTATGAAATATTGTAGAAGAATGGCAGACGCCTGACTCCTGATGAGTTTCTGGAGACGTTGTTGGAGCACAAAGATGGCGACACAAAGGCAATCCTCTCCCACAACGACATGACGTCCACAGTGAAGGCTTTCTTCCCAAAGCGGCATCTCCGACTGATTCCTGCACCATCCTTAGATCCAGATATTCTGAGGTATGTACTTCTGAATTTGTTCCCGGGCATAAACAGTATTTCCGCCACCCATCTATTTTTAAGAACGTTATGAAATGTGAAAGAAGACTACTGGACATTGCAGATATGTTTTTCTTTGTGAATTCCAGCAACCTTGACAAAACAATTGACAGCAATCTGGAGACGGGTTACAAAGATTCTCTTGAAAACTTCACCCGTGAGATCTGGAACTCCGGCCAGATTAAGACGGTCAACGGAGATGACATAAAACCCTCAGGTATGGAATTCGGCATAGGTCGTAGCACATATGACGTTGTTTTGTCCCAACAAATAATTTGAAAAAGTGTAGAAGTAACTGAGCCCGAGGTCAAAAATGAAGTGTTATGACTCTGGTGGGTGCCTACAATATTCTGTTTCTTTGGACGTTTCTATATCCTTTTTCCATGTTAAAGTAAGACAGATCTTTAGATTATCACATGCACAACAAAGTATTTGCCATCTGTTTCAGGCCTTCTTCATCTCATGGAGTACTACGTCGACGCCATCAACGACCCAAACGCCACACCGTCTGTTCTCGGCGCACACGAGGCTATGGTGGAAGGCGAGTGCCACAGGGCTTCATACGAGCAGATCAAACAGTTCCAGAAAACTGTTGAGGAAACGTTAGAACCACTCATGCCGATTGACACCCTGGACTGCTGCAGGAAAATCAAGGCTGCCATGGAGAATGCAGTTTCCAGCCTGTCTGCAGCCGTGGGGAAGTGGGACAAAGACGGAGCATGGAAGAAACGACTCCAGGTAAATGGCATTATTTGCACCCAGTTTCTATGTGTCAAAGGCCTGCAATCCTATTTTTTAAGCACACATTAAAGCCTACGTAAAAACACACGCAAATGAAGAAACCGAACCTTTACGCATACTTTCAGGTGTGCGTGAAGAATAGATTCTGTGCAGTGCTCTTGACTAATATGTAGTTTTCCGTAGTCGAAGTTGCGTCCTCGTTCACGAGGGTGTGACCACATGTAGCTACTTACATGTACCATAATATAGTCTATACTATGACCTCCCCGCTGCGTTAACATGGTGTTGTGTCGTCATGGTTGAAAGTGAAATACTAATGAGAATCTTCTTGAATTTCAGGGGAAACTGGAAACAAAACGGCTGGCCTTACTCAAGGATAATGGCTCAAAGTCAAAGGACCACTGCGAAATGATCATGAAGATGGTTGACGAGACTGTCCAGAAGAAAATGGAAGGAGGCGACTACTGTAGAATCGGTGGATTCGATACATACGTAAGGGACATGGATGATGTGTACCGCGCCTACAATCAAAGAGGTGAGATATCATTAACCATGTAGATACGATTTCAAATTGTAGCTGCAATAGCCAATAACTGTTTTTTGAATAAGGCAGTTAGAGGTGGCAGATTTTATCCCCTTTCGCATACTGCAACAAGACTAATCCACACCAGATGATGCTAACCTTTATCCCCGATGGTCCTCTCGTTTTCAATTACCTGACAAAAGTTTAAATAGTCCTATATGTATTTTTAGCCTCTGGAAAAGGCCCAGCAGTTGAGGAAGTTCTGGAGACCTTCCGCGCCACAGAGACGACAAGGAGGAACACGATCAAGATTACAGACCGCCAGCTGGTGGAGGAAGACCGTCGAGTTAAGGAAGAACAGAGAAAGGTAAGGTATATATTCGAGGGTGAAAAGACCACTTTCATAGTACAGTTACAGAAGACGTACGGTGTGAATGTTATTCCATCGCCAAGAAGGTTGTGTTTTCGGTGGCGTTCGTGTGTTTGTGTATGTGTGTGTGTTTCAGAAGGATTGGACGGATTGTCTTGCTATTTGGTAGGTGGGTAGGTCTTGATGAGACCTCAAAATCATTTGGGGCCTGTTATGGTACTGCAGTTTAACTTCCGGCTTGATATCTCCGAATCGTCGTGAGTTTTAGTATGTAGGTAGTTTAAGTGGCACTTGAAAAAATTGACAATTATGCAAAATCTGGATCTATTTTTCATGATTAGTGGATGAATTCTATAAACCTACTGTCTTCTAGATATGACTTGTGATATGTGTAATTAACATCGAGAGCAACATCACCAGATATTAATTATGTAAAGTAAGGCCTAATTTGGCGAGGGTATGAGGTCGTGGAACTCTTGACTAGTTCTACATAGTACTAAACCTCGCTGTCTTTGATGATTTCCCGATAGAGAAGGGACGCTGAGGTGGCAGCAAGGGCTGAAGAGCGTCGAGTTAAGGAAGAACAGAAAAAGGTAAGGGATCATTATCAGACCTATATTCGAGGGGGGAAAAGTGTGTAGATGTAGATCTAGATCTAGACTTTATATATCCACACCAATGCAGGTGCGAATGTCACGCCATGCATGTGTATTTTATACCACGTCTTGCTTTTGTTACAAACAAAAAACTCTTCTTTTACTTTCCAAAACCCAAATTTTAGAAAAGGTGCCGGTGGGACATTACGTCTTCCATGGTTTACAAAAGAGAAGTCAAACCTTGAGGCATAATTATAGACATAGCCATAGTTTTAGACAACAAGCTTTCATTATGTAGATTTCGAAGTTATTTTATACTCTGTTTCAATGTTCTTTTATTTTTGTAACTTGCCTTCAGGCATGGATTTGCAATAAACTTCTCATTATATTTACCGATAGAGACAGGAGGCTGAGGAAGCAGCAAAAAGGGCCGCTGAAGAGGAAAGGCGAGCAAAAGCAAAGGCTGAAAGGTCTCAACGCGAAGCAGCGCTTGAGGCGGAGAAGGTGAGAATGTAGTTGATGTAACAAAATGTAGCTGATGAGGTGGCAAGCGCACTCTAAATTTTGGAGTGTATGGATTGAATGCTATGGATGATATGATGAAGTTGGCCAGCAAAGGGAATGAATGTGATGTCTGAATGCCTAACATTATCGATCTTTTGCTTCAGAGATATGCATTCAAAGCAAGAGCAAATGAGTACCGAAATTTGGAGCTCTTGACTAGTTCTACATAGTACTAAACCTCGCTGTCTTTGATGATGTCCCGATAGAGAAGGGACGCTGAGGTGGCAGCAAGGGGGGGGGGGACTTTCATAGTACAGCTCAATGGCAGCTGTCATTTACAGAAGACGGTGCGATCGATTGGAATGTCATGTATTTCTCCTACATAGTACTAAACCTGGCTTTGACGATTTACCGATATATAGAGAAAGAAGGCCGAGGCAGCATCAATGGATCGATTTGCAAGGAATGAGGAGAGGCGGCAAATGGCTCGGCAGGACGGGAGGCAGAAAATGGCTCAAACCCAGATGCAACAGCGAGCAATGACGCAACAGCGACAAATGATGCAACAGCGAGCAATGATGCAACAACGAGCAATGATGCAACAACGAGCAATGATGCAACAACGAGCAATGATGCAGCAAGCAATGATGCAGCGAGCAATGATGCAGCGACAATTTATGATGCAGCGAGCGGGAATGATGCAGCGAACAATGATGATGCAGGAAATGATGAGACGGCAGTCTGCAGGGCTAGATATGGGTCAAATGAACATGGGGGGTTGGGACAATGGAGGGGGGGAATACGGGGGCATGGATGGGCAGGGCTATGATGGTTGCTATGATGGTTGATACCAAATAACTAAAGGTCCTGATCTCGAGCCCGATTGCAAAAGGCACTTAAAACCTAACTTTTAGGAGCTCCTGTGTTTGAGGAAAGACACATGCACCTCGAGAGCATTGAAAAGTTCAATATATCTATCGATAAGTGTATACGTACACCCAAATGAGTGCACTAACTGTCCGGGCTTTCACAGCTTCTATTGATTACTTACTTTATGTTGTGTTTTGTCTTGCGGTGATTCTTATCTCCATTGGAAAATTATCTATGATGTTGTGTCGCGGTGGTACCTTTGGTGTGATTGTGATAATGATGTAGTGACATGAGACACGAGTGTGTAGATCAGACTTGATATATCCGCACCAATGCAGTGCCTATGTTCATTTAAACTTCCACAAAGGAAGTATAAAATCTGATCAGCTTCAGCAAGGAGGTCTTTGTAGTAAATCACATCATCATCCCTTACCAGGAACATAGAAGAAGAACTTAATTGCACGATAATTGTACATGGTACAATGTATGGCAACGACTACTGAACAAAGCACAAAACGAAAAGGGTACCGTTACATGATGTACTTAGGAACCATTTTGTATTCGGATACATGTAGGTACATGTAGATATACAAGTCAGGTGGGTAGTTTTCCTTTCAAAGTATATCATTATCAAAGGCATCATAACCGGTATCCAAGTAAATCAAAATTCTGGCAGAAAGACTAACTTGTGTATTGCAGTGTTATTTTGTACATATGCATTGAGGTTTTATACTAGTTTTGGACATATGTATTGCGATGTTAAATTTGACATATATGTATTGCGGTGATTGAACAAATCTATGACAAGAATACAATGCCTTTAGCTTGATATTGGCATCACGTGGGATTTTGAAATACCACAACATGTGGCATTTCACAGTAAATCCCGTAAGAGCTAAACGCTTCTGGTGAAAACTTGGGACATATCAACTGACCTGTCACAGACATACATTCATCGTTGGACTGATGATTAACCTTTAACTCTTTAACTTTTATGTGATGTTACTGTAGAGCGCTTGGTAAAAATAAAGAATATAAAAAGCAAATGTGAAGCGTTTTGGTATTGTTTTAGGATTTGCCATTATAAATAATACAAGAAGGCGTTCAAGCAACAGTGTATAACCAGCCTTTGAGGCATAATAATATGTAGAAAACATTTAAAAGTGAATTAATTTTAGTTTAAATGGTCTTAATACCTCGCTTAAGAGAAAAGGCTAGCTACTACAGAAATATGTTAAAAAGAATTCACCCCACATGTCATTAAAAGTTGGACCTTCGAATTCCCGGTGTGAGTGGATCAGGCCTATGCCCGGTC